TACTACTACAGTGATGAGAAATTATAAGTTGACCACTCGTTCTTGAAAAGTGAAAATTCCATTGCTCAGCCCTAATTTTGCAAGTGATGAACACATTGTATATTTTCTAATCCACTGTAAACTTTTAAACTTTATCCATAAGACTGTTATTGTTTACGTCTCCTCAGTTACTATTTTCTTAAGCACCCATGAAATGAAAAAATCAAGTCATTTACGTGGTAAAACTCAAATTGCTCCAACTTTTTTTTAAATGAGGCTTGAAGAAACGGATATATTTTTCTACCCTCTATGTTGGCAAAAAGGTCTCTTCATTTTTGGGGAATGATTGCGAGACTCTCACTGAGCAGTTGTCAGGCGGTAAACACAAACAGAATGTCTAAATGTCTGTTTTCAGTTCCACGTATATCATGTGTATAATTTCAAGCAGTGGCATATTGATGCCTCGCTGAGGCCTAGTTTTTAAAGCCCTAATTTCACCTAAATCATTTGATTATACCTCCCTGCAAAAGGAGCCCTTCCTAAATTTTTGCATCAGTACATAGCTGAAACATTATCCACTCATCATCATCATCATCATCATCATCAGTTCCGCTTTCCCGTTTGGAGATTGGGGCCAGCAAAGAAAAGTGGAAATCACTTATTGGCTTTCCATTGATTCCAAAGCGTAAAAAATATGCTAACAATTATTCGCCAGGAAACAAAACCAGTTACACACCGTTTTCCTTCAAGGGCAATGCAGTAAAATATTTTAGACATATTTTCTGAAACACCAACCCTAAGCCCGCATTTATAAACAGATTAAAACGTCGCTAAAAACTTACCGAAACTATCTAAAATTGACTAAATTTAAAAACTGTAAAACCAAAATAAAACAATAAAAAATCAGCATCCGTAGTAAGCTCTTCAGATCAAAAAGACGCTTTTTGAGTCTACGTTTAAAAGTGTCAAGTGATGTAGAATCTCTGACAGATTGGGGTAGAGGATTCCACAGCAATGGCACCGCAAGGGCAAAAGAACGCCCACCACAAGTTTTAAGATTATAGGTTGGATTTCGAAGAAAGTTTTTAGCAAATGAACGAAGTGAAGCACTTTTAATGTAATCAATAGAATTTTGAAGTTTATCCTCTGTTAAAAGGGTAGCCATTGAAGTTCCATGAGGAGAGGTGTTATGTGATCGTACTTTTTAGACTGGGACACTATTTTTTGCAGCGTGTAATGAATTAACTCCGTTTTCCGACTCACGAAAACTGGATAAAGTGAATCCGACCCAGTTTAAACTAGAATTCCAGAGTTCAATCCACGAACTCAAAGATAACATACACAACGAGATATAATGCCAGTAAAGTTACATCATGTGATCACGTCACTAACAATCAATAAGTCAATGTCAACTAAGGGGAGTCCCTGAATTCCGCACAAAGCGCAATTTGACACTCGCTGGAGACTATGTAAACAATATTTAGGAGCACCATACAGCAAAGAGTTTTATCAACGCCCTTGGTGTCTTCTTTTCTTAAAACCAAGAAAGTGCTAACAGACTGAACTTCGGTGAAAAAATATTTAACCTTGAGAAAACGCTAAACACTTCGCAACGGAGAAATCTAACTCTTTATGGAAAGATTAACATAGTCAAAACACATGGGATATCTAAATTAATTTACTCAGTTTCTGTGCTCCTTGTTCCAGATCACTACATCCAAGAAATAAATAAGCTAATTTTCAACTTTATTTGGGCAGGTAATCCCCCTAAAATCAAAAGAAACACCATAATTGGAGAAAAGAAAAACGGCGGATTGAAAATATGTGATTTTAAGATCATGGAAAAAGCGGTTAAAATAATTCGGGTCAACAGGCCCAAGTCACAAGCCTCCTGGAAAATAATTCCTAACCAGCTCTTGCACAAGCATGGTGGTCTAGCCTTCCAAACAAAATGCAACTTTGCAACAAATATATTTGACCTTGATGATGCGCTTCCCACATTTTATAAAAAAAAAATGTTAGATTATTGGTGCGAGATCAAATTCTTAACGGGCATCGATTCCAAAACAAATCCTAAAAACGAAATACTGTGGAATAACAGGAAAACTCTTGTGGGAAAAAAACCCTGTTTTTTTTTTTTTTTTAACAAAATTGACAAAAACAAAAAGATGTAAAAAGTTTAGCTATTCCACACTGATCTTTTAACACACCCTTCCTGCCACCTCCAAATGGAAAGCTTGATATGATTCTATTAGTGATTTACTGATTTATTCTGCTTATTGCTTTTTTACAAGCTCTACTGCCAATCAACGTCTTTAAATAAACACCATTTAATTTCACTGTAAGTGAATTTGGGTAAATTTACCTATAATTTTCTGCTTTGATATTTTTTTGTAAGAATTTTCCTATTTGGGTAATAAGTATATTAAAAAATAAATAAATAAATAAATTGAGAAATTTATAAAATACACATTTTCAAGGACCAAGTGCTCTTTTCTAAATATATTAAGCCCCGCTCTAAATGAGCAGAGATACAATAATTTACNAAACCCTGTTTTTTTTTTTTTTTTAACAAAATTGGTATGACGCCGGCATTACCAAGATAAGCGACATGTTAAACCAAAATCAGGATTTTTCTTGAAGTGGCATGAGCTTGCAATAAAATTCAATTTGAAGGTTCCTTTCACCATATACTATGGCCTGGAAAACGCAATCGCAAAAAAGTGGAAAGCTTGAATATTCCGAACGTCACACAAGATACCACAGTCAACACCCTAAGAACCACTTCTGTTTACTCCTCTCTTTTAAACACCATCTTCGTTCCTCCCACTGCTGAAACCAAAATTCTACGCCAGGGATTTACGGACAATACCATCCAGAAGGTTTATCTTATGACATTTGCTGTCACAAATGAAGTAAAAATAATAATGTTTCAGTATAAAGTGATTCATAACGTGCTTCCAACCCGTGTTACACTTTATCGAGAAGGCATTTCAGAAAGCCCCATAGGCAACTTATGCAACGGAGAAGAACAAACGTTGCATCACCTGCTAATAAACTGCACACTAACAGTCAATTTCTGGATTTTGTTTCAAAACTGGTGGTACCAAAAACAAATGAAACAATAACGTTATCCATAAGTCATATACTCTCCGGCTGGCATGACAGGACAAAGCATTGGCAAGTCCTAAATTATTGTCTACTGATAGCCAAATATTATATTTTCTGCACAAGCCTTCGCGGAGATGTTTTAGATTTTCAAAACTTTCTATCGTTCATTCCCGGAAAACTTGCAATTCTTAAAGAGATTGCGACTGCAGAAAAGGCACTTCCAAAATTTTATCGCACGTGGGCCTTTTTACTTTAATTTTATATGCTGCTGATGTTTATGGTTAATTAATATTTAATTTTATATTTATTATTTAACTGTAAGTTTGTACATATAGGGAAAAAAAATAAAAACTACATGTACATATTAGGTGTTACTGTAATATAATAACAATTAAGAAAAAAAAAAGATGCGAATAGTGTAAGAATAGTATTGTAATTGACAGTGGTGTAAGTAACCAGTATTGTAGGTACCGTAAGTAAGTTATGTAATTAGCAGTATCTGAAATATTGTATTGTTATTAGTGTAAGTTTGTAGTATGGTAGGTAATGTATTTTATCGTACTGTTAAGAAAAAAATAAAATGTCAAATATATATATGTAGCAAAGAGTTGCAATAATCAATCTTTGAAGTTAAAAAGGCATGTACCAGAGTTTTAGTACATTCAGTCGTAAGAAACTTCCTTATCGTGGATATGTTGCGCAAGTGGAAGAATGCAGATTGCGAAAATTACATCTCTTCTAGGTATGAAGCGGCAAAGATACAGAGACACTATTAATGCCATTGGAAAGAACATATATTTGAAATTCATTATCAAGTTTCATTTTATTTATAACTTTAAAAGTCTTCGAACAGTAAGCAATCAAACTTTTCAACTGCAATTTTCGCCTGGAAGGTTTTATAGAAAGAAATAATATTGGCTTCTTTTCAAAAACTGTATTAAAAGATCTAAAACTTTACACAAAAATATGCTTCATTTATGAGGGGAAATGTAGTTTTAAAACCATCTGAAAAAGTCCGCACGTTCTAATCACCTGAGCAATGACGACACAGCCACAAGGGCTTACATAGTGTATCTTCATAAAAATATCTACAACACGCAAGTTTAAGTTTTCTAACCAAGAAAGTCACGTGACCATTTTAAGTGCTCTATAGGATTACCCTTTGAAACATGTCAAGCGTTTTCCAATTTTTCAATGCCTGTCCTCACACAGACATTAAACGCACTTTTAGACATGGTTAGCTGACTGATGATGTCATGACACCAAAATTATCATGATTATCCGTGATCTTGAGTGTCCTTATTATTGTACAATCTGTAGCTAGATGAGGTCACAGGTGCTGATTTCAAAAATTCACTGTACGCTTTCGGCCAACCAGAAAAGACATAGTGAGTTCAATGTATAATAATTACTAGTACCTGCAGAGGTCGGTCCTTTGGGTTGACTTGTCGACGATTGCATCGTGGCAGGCTTGGTCATCGTGGAAGGTTTGGTTGTCAATTCTTTGCCTTTTGAAAAACAGAGAGGATTGCAGGGTGTCAGCATGTAATATCATGGGTGACAAATTACGCCTTAATTTTGGCTAGAAATCTCAGCGCTAATTTAGAATTTCACATGTAAAATTACAAAATCCCCACGGCAACTTTTAGCGGGAAATGTCTTGATACAATGAACAAATTAAAACCCCACGACTGTAACCGTTTTTTTTTTCACCCATTATATAAAATTGCATATGATGAAAAATAATTGTTGCTTATTTGAAAGGCTTTTTAAAATTAAGAAGAATGGCATTTCTCTTTTGAAATTTCTTCTTTCTTCTAGAGATATTTATGTTTTAAACCCCCCTTGAGCCATTCTCTCTCTTGACTTGAGATCCTTGTCCGCATCCTTAAGGTTTAAACTCAGATCATCTACTGTACATATAACGAGCGAAGCATCTGATTGACAAATTCAGGGTCTTCCACTTCATAGCTGGTGATGTGCTTGAGGAGAGGAAAGGGACTCGAAGTAACTCCAAACACGATTCGAGCAAATCTGTATTCCGCGAACTTAGCTTCCGCTAAATTCACGTCATCCAGCCACAGAAAACGCAGAGCGTCTCTGTTCTCCTCCTTGACGGCTATCATAAGGAAGACTTTCTCTATGTAAGCAACTAGCGCAATTGGCTGGACTCTGAATCTTATGAGAATGTCTAGCTTAATTTGTCAGGAGTTAGGGGTGGTCCAGTATGGAGGCAATCATTTAAATACTGGCCCATTTTCTCTTGCTGAGGAAGGTAATGTATCTGATGACAAGGCTGGGCTTTCTCAGATTGGTCAACTATTTCGATGATTCCCCTGTCAAGCTGACCCTTAATCATATCACACGATCATACTCATCGAGTTACTCTGGCTTCTTGTTGAGTCTCTTCAGCAAGGACTGTAATCTTCTTTGACTGAGAATGCGATTGTCAGGTAGTGGGTCATGAGCTTCATTCCATAGAAGGCCTACTTAATATCTCTGATTCCTAAAAGTGGTTTTCTCTCTGAATGTTTCTAGAACAAAGTTTTCTTCCTGCTTAATTCCAATTGATTACAATTTCCAGAAGGTGAGGAGTTTCTCGTCAAGCTCCATCTCACGCACGTCCATCTCATCTCTGCGTGCGTCAATTCGGAGTACATTTGTTGCTGCCAAATTGACTGAATGAGCCTCTGAGTGAGGTGCATTCTCGACGGGACCAGATAGTATCCATCCAAATCTCGTCTTAATTGCAACAGGTCCACTTTCTCCTCTTCTGCTGACCTCTCCCTTTGCAATGTTTCAATACTGATCTGCTTCAATGAGAATGTCTACGACAAGATTCTCTTCTGAAATACCTTCCGACAAAACAATGTCCTTCAAATGAGCATGATTCTTCTCTTCAAATTGAACAGCTTGATAATTCAGTGGTGTACAGATCATTGGTACAACATAGGCTGTAATGGATACAGGGACGCCATTATCAACATTCGTCAGGCACAGGTTCACAACATCAACAGTCTAAAGGTTTCTGTAATCTGATCCAAATGTCTTGATACACAATTTCTCCCTTGCCATTGGTTATAGGCCCAGAGTCTCCGTAAGTTGCCTAGTGATGTACGTCTTCGGACTTCCACTGTCCAGGATGATTCTTACACGATGTTTCTCTTGGGGCTGTGCTAAGGTAGGTTTCGATGCTAAGACGATTTAAGTCTGCAGCAAAATCGATGTCTTCCTGTCAACATACATGCTAATGACTGAAATTGGTTCTCCACTTCCTTGGGTTGGCGGCTGAGTTACATCTGCTAGTTACGGAGTTGTCCCTTTTTTAAGATATCCAGAATAATCAAAGTCGAGGTAGGGGTTATCAGCCCAAGCCGAAGGCTGACGCTGACAACGTGAACTTGACATTATTACCCTTAGAAATCATGCACCGCGGTCATACATGACATGATTACCCATGGCCATAGGTGTCCTTGACATGNGAACTTGACATTATTACCCTTAGAAATCATGCACCGCGGTCATACATGACATGATTACCCATGGCCTTAGTGTCCTTGACATGATTATTATATAATTTGCAGCTAGAGGACGTCACAGGCGCTGATTTCGAAATTTCACTGTACGCTGTCGACCAATCAGAATCAGAAAAGAGATAGTGAGTTCAATGTGTAGTAATTATTATTACCTGTGGAGGTTGGTCCTTTGGGTTGACTTGTCGACGATTGCATCGTGACGGGTTTGGTCATCGTGGAAGGTTTGGTTGTCAATTCTTTGCCTTTTGGAAAACAGAAAGGATTGCAAAATATTAACATGTAATATCATGGGTGACAAATTACTCCCTAATTTTGGCGCGAAATCTCAGCGCTAATTTAGAATTTCACATGGTAAATTACAAAATCACCGCGGCAACATTTAGCGGGAAATATCTTGATACAGCGAACAAATCTGAACCTCACGACTGTGACTGTTTTTTAGCATTCATTATATTAAATGGCATATGATGAAAAATAATTGCCGCTTATTTCAAAGGCTTTTCAAAATAAAGACGAATGAGGTTCTCTTTTTAGAATATCTTCTTTCGTTCTAGAAATGTTTACGTTTTTGTATTATGCAAATAAAGAAATATTGCTACAGATCTTCTTGATTCATAATGGTAATTGAACTGAATGGAGTGCAATTTGGTCTGAAATCATACGCGTGATTTCAAAATCGAACGAG